AAAAAAATGATCCAGGCAACCGAAATTCCAATACTTGATAAGACAACAATAAGACTAAAATGGCTCCATGTACAACAAGGGCTCCCAACCAAGAAAACTTACCGAATGAATGACATCTATGCTTACATCACCAGCTTCAACACCTTCAATAGTGACAAGCAAGACATTCCCAGGAACATCACCACTACTCTTGTTATTTGTAATTTCTTGCCTGTTAGAATACTGGATATAGACAGTTTTTCCACGGACTTGGGCTGGCTCAGACGAAGAAGCATAGTACGATACCATTGAAATTGCTTGGTTAAGGTCCACCTACAGAGAAAGAAACATTTTTAAAATGCACTGAGTAATGAATATAGACTTTAAAAAATGAAAATTAACACAAAGGTTGTACCAAGTAGAACTCCTCTGATGCAAAAACTCCAAGAATTAAAAAAATCACAGTTAAATAAAGCATTCACAAGCATACTACAGCAGAAGAAGGTAGCACCTAGTTGATCCAGAGCATGGAAAGTTGAGACCCTAGTTATACTAAAGTACTTGCTGATCACTGGCATTTTGGATTTATTTTATCGAGAAGATGGAAAACGGTTTACTAGAAAAAGTTTTGAGTCCTGTTGACGCGTAGATAAAGCTGGAAGAGTTCTAATTCACGAAGGATCGAATCCTTCATTTCGTCCTATTATGAATTTTCATCTATGGGAAGTTCCAAAAACTCCAATTTGGTGCTTCTGATCTGAATATGATCAGTCGAGAAATTCAATAGCAAACCCAACATTCTTCGTCCAGCGTAAAAATAGTGTGGATTGTTAGCAATGAGTAGCCAAAAGATAATGTACACATATATCACCAAAACTATCACAAGCAACAAGGCACATGATCAAAACAGAGAGACGATACGGACGAATTCGACGAAGGCCTGGTTCTTGTTGGCGCCGACGTTGCACATGGTGTTGACGATCCTGCCAAAGGGCTCGCAGAGGGCAACGAGCTCCTCCTCCGTGCACTCCCACGGCAGGTTTCGAACGTGCAGCACCTTCGACGGCGTCTGCGTGTACCGAAACTGCTGCTGCCCTCCTTGACCCGGCGCCATCCCTTCTACCAATATATATGGTACAAGAAAAATCCCCTTTCCTTTCTACCGTTCAAGATGAGGAATCTCACAAGGATGCTTCCTCTTGCTAGGATTAGGGTTCGAGGGGACAAACAAAGCAAGATTTAGAGGAAATAAGAGTGTAGCTCTTCCCTCCCCCCTCTCTTTCGCCTTCCTATCCTTCGATGTCCTTTTCTCGAACCGGTAAAAAGCCCTATCCACCCCCGGTTGTTTTGCTACGTTATCGCTTTCCCGGTTTTACACGAACGGAAACGACTCATGTAGCGGGTCCGGTTGCTTCTGGAGAGAACGAGAGACTTCTTGCCGTGTGCGTGAGAACAACGAATCACACGATCCAGACCGTCGGATTTGTCATCGTCATTCGACGGCTAAACTACCATAATTTACCCATCAAAATAAAAGGCTCGATGCTTAACATAAACAACTTAAAATAATCAAATATTTTCTAAATTAAATAAAAGTCATAAAAAATATCGATCCGAAACAAACAGCTATGTTGAACGACTATGGGTGGGATTCGAGACACCGAGTATGCTGTCACGGCACAAACAGTTAGTAAATAAGGCTAATCCGAAGTCCAATGAGGTGACTAACTAAATACGTGGTCCTCATAAAACGGTACGCTTACCGAACGCAGGTTCCGAATGTGCAGTCAACCGTGAGCCACCGTGGTTCAAGAACATCTGAAGTCTAACGACGGGTGTATCGGACACGTCATTTCCCTACAGAATGCGGGCTCAGTAGCAGAACAAAATGCGCTGACTTTGGGAGATATTGGACGAGTACAAGGATTTGTTTTGATCGAGAAATAGAAAGAGATGAAAGAAAGGTTCTAATTTAAAGATAACTAGAAAATAATCACCGGAGGTCAACGAGCAAATTCGTTGGAGGAAAGTCTTTCACCGTCTTTTCGTGTCTTACATAGGATCATCTAATTTGGAAAATAAATATATATATATATATATATATATATATATATATATATATATATATATA